AACAGTGTATTAGTCTGTTCTCATGTAATAAAGACATACCTGAGACTGGGTAATTTATAAAGGAAAGAGGTTTAATTGACTCACAGTTCTGCATGGCTGGGGAGGCCTCAGGAAACTTACAATCATGGCAGAAGGGGAAACAAACATGTCCTTCTTCACATGGAAGCAGCAAGGAGAAGAATGAGCAAAGTAGGGGTCGGGGGGAAGCCCCTTATAAAACCATCAGATCTTGTGATCTCACTATCAGGAGAACAGCATGGAGGTAACTGCCCCCATGTTTCAATTGCCTCCCTCCAGGTCCCTCCCATGACATGTGAGGATTATGGGAACTACAATTCAAGATGAGATTTGGGCAGGGACACAGCCAGACCATGTCAAACAGCCGATCAATGAAATGAAAAGGAATTTCATTCTTTAGCTGAGTCTGTCAAAGGATGTCATTGAGGATGCATTTCATGGCTCACCCCATGTCACTTCCAGTGAACAGTTTACCATCCTCAATTTTCTTACACATACACAAGGACATTCCCCCTTCAAACTCTCCCCAAAAGGTCTCTCTTCAACCCTGGTAGAAACAAGGAAAGAGAACATTTTCTATTTCTATTTAAAAAAATCATTGGGATTTTGTTGGGGATAGCATTTAATCTACAGATCTGCTTTGGGTAGAATAGATATTTTAACAATAATAAGTCTTCAAATCCATGACATGGATTTCTTTCCATTTAGTTGTATCTTCTTTAATTGCTTTCATCAATGTTTTGTACTTTTCACTGTACCAATGTGCCTTTATAGCTACATTTGTTTCTAAGTATTTTATTCTTTTTTTAATACAGTATGTCTCTCCATTTATTTAGACCTTTGATTTCTTTCATTGGCATATTGCATTTTTTAGTATATGTATATCATTTAGTCCTGTATATGCTTTATCAGATTTACAGCTATACTATTGTAAATAGTATTGTATTTTTTAATCTTTGTGTCGATGTTTTTATTGGTAGTTTGTAGAAAAAATTGTTTTTGCATGTTTATCTTTTTGATGCTATTGTAAATAAGGTCACTTTCTTAAATTCTCTTGCCAATAGTTTATTTTTAGTGTATAGAAATGCAACTGATTTTTTTTGAGAGAGAGGGTCTCACTTTGTCACCCAGGCTAGAGTGCAGTGGCCCAATCATGGCTTACTGTAGCCTCAACCTCCTAGGATCAAGCAATCCTCCCACCTCAGCTTCCTGAGTAGCTGAGACTACAGGTGTGTGCCACCATGCCTGACTAATTTTTTTTATTTTTTTATTTTTGTACCGATAGGGTCTCACCATGTTTCTCAGACTGGTCTCAAACTCCTGAACTCGAGCTATACACCTAACTCAGCCTCCCAAAATGTTGGGATTACAGGTGTGAGCCACCATGCCTGGTGCAACTGATTATTAAATGCTGATTTTCTATCCTGTGACTTTATTAAATTCGTTTATTAGTTCTAACACTTTTTAATGGAGTCATTAGATTATGCTATCTGCAAATAGAGATAATTTTACTTTTTTTCTGATCTGAATGTCTTTTTAAATGTCTCCTTTTTCCCCTAATTGCTCTGGCTTCAACTACCATCTTTTTTTTTTTTTTTTTTTTTTTTTTTTTTTTTTTTGAGACGGAGTCTCGCTCTGTCGCCCAGGCTGGAGTTCAGTGGCGCAATCTCGGCTCACTGCAAGCTCCGCCTCCCGGGTTCACGCCATTCTCCGGCCTCAGCCTCCCGAGTAGCTGGGACTACAGGCGCCCGCCACTGCGCCCGGCTAATTTTTTTCTATTTTTAGTAGAGACGGGGTTTCACCATGGTCTCGATCTCCTGACCTTGTGATCCGCCCGCCTCGGCCTTCCAAAGTGCTGGGATTACAGGCGTGAGCCACCGCGCCCGGCCTCAACTACCATCTTTAATAGAAGTTGCTAGAGTGGGCATCCTTGTCTTGTTCCTGATCCTAAAGGAAACACTTTCAGTTTTTCACCACTAAGTATGATATTAGCTGTGGGCTTTTCATGTATAACCTTTACTGTTTTGAGGTAAGTTTCTTCTACACTTAATTTGTTGAAAGTTTTTATCATAAAAGGGTGTTGAATCCTGTCAAATGCTTTTGCTGTATCTACTAAGATGATTATATGCTTATTAACCTTCATTCTCTTAATATGGGATATTACATTCATTGATCTGTATATGTTGAACCATCCTTGCATCCCAGGGATAAATCTCACTTTTCATGGTGTATGATACTTCTAATGTACTGTTGAATTTGATTTGCTAGTATTTGTTATGAATTTTTGCATCTATGTTCATCAAGGATATTAGCCTATAGTTTTTTTTTTCTTATAGTATCTTTGTCTGGCATTAGTAACAGGGTAATTTTGGCCTCATAAAATATGTTTGGAAGGGTTTGTTCCTCTTCAATTTTTTGGAAGAGCTTGAAATATATTGGCATCAATTCTTATTCAAATGTTTGCTAGAATTCCCCAGTGAAGCCATCTGGTGCTAGGCTTCTCTTGGTTGAGAAGTTTCAATCTAGGCAATGATTTCTTGGATATGACACCAAAAGCATAGGCAACAAAAGCAAAAAGTAACTAATGGGACTACATCAAATTGAAAGCTTCTGCAGTGCAAGGGAAATAATCAACAGAGTGAAAAGGCAACCTATGGAATAGGAGAAAATATTTGCAAACTGTTTATCTGATAGGGGGTTAATATACAAAATATACAAGAACCTCTTACAACTCAATAGCAAAAATACAAATAACCTAATTTAAAAATGGGAAAAGTGCTTGAATGAACATTTCTCCAATGATTTACAAATGGCCAAGTACAAAAGGAATTCAAAATGTTCATGGAAAACGTGTATTATAAAAAAACAAACAAAAAACAAAACAAAAAAAAACTGGGCATGGATTTAGAAATGTTTTACGTAGAAATAAACTTATACTAAATTGTTACAACACATCTCAACAGGATCTAGTCTGAGGCACTAGGAAGGGTAAGACATCAGTTTGAGAATAGCCCTTATCAAAGCAACATGAATTCTGCTAAAATTGAAGCAAAGACAAACATCAAATGTATGGTGAAGCTTGGGTAGAAGAACGGTAAAATCATCGATGTTTTATGAAAAATGTGTGGAGATGATGCTCCAAAGACATCAGCTGTTTTCAAATGGATACCTCACTGTAAGAAAGGAGGAGACAATGTTGAAGATGTGGCCCACAGCGGTGGCCCATCCACAATGATTTGTAAGGAAAAACATTCATCTTGTGTGTGACCTAATTGAAAAGGATGGATGATTAACAGCAGAGACAATAGCCAACACCACAGACATCTCAGTTGGCTCAGTTTATGCAATTTCAACGGAAAAACTGAAGTTGAGCATACTTTCTACTCAATGGCACCAACACCATCAACTGCATCCAGACCTGCTGTAGACAAGGGCAGAGCTTTCAATGAAAATTTTGGACAAGGACAATTAAGGTTCTGAAACATTTCTTTGAAGAATTGTAACAGGAGATGAAACATGGCTTTATTATGATGATCCTGAAGACAAAGCACATTCAAAGCAATGGCTACCAAGAGGTGGAAGTGGTCCAGTCAAAGCAAAAGCAGAACAGTCAAGAGCAAAGTCATGGCAACAGTTTTCTGGGATGTTCAAGACATTTTGCTTGTTGATTTTCTGGAGGGCCTAAGAATTACAACATCTGCTTATTCTGAGAGTGTTTTAGGAGAGTTAGCTAAAGCTTTAGCAGACAAACACCTGGGAAATCATCACCAGAACGTCCTTCTCCACTTCAACAACACTCCTGCTCATTCCTCTCATCAAACAAGTGTACTTTTGCAAGAGTTTGAATGGAAAATTATTAGGCATCCACCTTCCAGTCCATATTTGGTTTCTTCTGACTTCTTTTGGTTTCCTAATCTTAAAAAAATATTTAAATGGTACCCATTTTTCTTCAGTTAATAATGTAAAAAATACTGTCTTAACATGGTTAAATGCCCAAGGTTCTTTAGTGATGGACTAAATGGCTGGTATTACTGTTTGCAAAAGTGTCTTGAAGTTGATGATTCTTACGTTGAGAAAAATAAAGTTTACATTTTTAAATTTTATCTTTTAATGTAAAAGATAAAGTTTTTGTTCACGAATTTTTGAAGTCCCCTCATATATGAGAAGGTGCTCAATATCACTAATCATCAGGAAACACAAATCAAAACCACAATGAAATATCACATCATACCTGTTAGAATGGCTATTTTCAAAGGGAAAATAGATGTGTTGGCAAGGATGTAGAAAAAAAAGAACTCTGGTACACTATTGGTGGGAATGTAAATTGGTACAGCCATTTTAGGAAACAAAATAGAAGTTCCTCCAATAATTAAAAATAGAGCTACCACATGATCCAGCCATTCCAGTCCAGAGTTTATAGCTAAAGGAATTGAAATGAAGATTTTGAAGAGATAATCTATACTTCCAAGTAGCACTCATGGGTAGCCAAGTCATGGAAGCAACCTCAACAAAATATCATTCAGGCTTAAAAAAAAACAAGAAAACCTTCCCATTTACAATATAAATCAAACTGGAGGACATTATGCTAAGTGGTACAAACCAGCCACAGAAGGATAAATACTGCATTATCCTACTTCTATGAGAAATCTTAAATAGCCAAACTCATAAAAGCAGAGATGAGCATAGTGGTTGCCAAGGCTGGGGAAAGACAGACTTGAGGAGTTGTTTTCTCAATGGGTATAAAGTTTCTGTTATGCAACATGGATAAGTTCTCAAGATCTTCTTATAACATAGTGCCTGTAGTTAATACAATAATGTGTACTTTAAAATTTGTTAAAAGGGTGGATCTCATGTTATGTTCTTAACACACACACACACACACACACACACACACACACACACACAGAGAGAGAGAGAGAGAGAGAGAGAGAGAGAGAGAGAGAGAGAGGAAAACTTTGGAAGGTGATGGATCTGTTTATTACCTTGATTGAGATCCACATTATTTGGATATTACTGCCACTAAAAATATTGCCAGTAAGGAAACCAGGTGGTACTTTTTCCCATTTTTCTCAGTTGATTTTGCCAGATGATTCTGTTCCAGTTACTTCTTCCTGCAAGAATAAGCATAGTATACACTAAGTTTATTTTGTTATTGTTGCTGTAGTCTTTTCAGATGAGCCGAAAAAGTCATGAACTCTATCAAATCCCAGATTAAAAACAGCAACAATGAAGAAGTCTCTGTACAAGTTTAAGTGATGTGAATTCTAAAAATTAGAGGGAATTTTTAGGTGCAATTGCTAGAATCCCAGTTCATTAAAATAAATGTAGTTTGAGATTTGGTATCACGTTAAAAATTTGGAAGCTGCTATCATGTTGTGACCTAATTTAATATTCATGGAAAATAACATTTTTGTGGAGGGAGAGAAGTGCTGATTTTCTCATTGACTTTGGCTGGGGGAGGAATCCATAAAGTAGGATATGGGTTTCCCATTCTTGTTCCCCAAAAATGCCTATATTACCTCCAAAACTCAGTGAGAAAACGACCCACTACTTGGACCTCAGATCTCCCATCTACTCTTCTAGTAGTGTGACCTTTTTAAAATATGGTATATGTTGGAGTTTAAATATAAGGCTTCTCTTGAGAAAAGATTTCTGCTGCTAAAAGTAGGTTGATCATCTCAATGGCAAAAACACATTTCCCCCTTTTGGGACTCAATAAAACTATTTTCAAATTTAGTGGGAAAAATAGGCTATAAAATTGTTTTATTTTTCCTGAATAATTCTTTCTGAAGAAGAAAAAAAAGAGGGTTATTTGTCACTGATCTAAACCATGGTTTTGTATGTTTCAGGTTTATAGGAAAATAAGAAGCTCTCCCTCTCTCTCCTCCCACCTCAATGTTACCACCCCCAAGCAAAACCACAGTCCATTTTCCCTGCTGATGGCCCCACGTACGATGTTAGAAAAAGGATCTGACTGTCTTCCCTTATGTCTGTTTCAAAGGTTATGGACACAGCCCTGGTTTCTCTATTTCCCTGAACATACGATTATTTAAACACCATGGATGGATTCATGTAAACCAGTGGCTTTTAGCCCTCATTTTATATCCAAGCCCCTGGGAACTTTAAAAAAAAAAATCTAGATTCCCAGACCTCATGCCAGATCTACTGGAAGAGAATCTCCAGGGGTATGTTCTGGGCATCTTTAAAAAAGAGCAATGTAAGGATAGTTTTCTCATTCCTCCTCCTGAAATCAGAGCATAGTCAGTATCACGGAGGGAAGCTGGCTTCACTATCTGAGAACAAAAGGCTGTTCATCACCCACTTAGACGCCAACAGGTGGACATGTCAGGAGGCCCAGGAGCTCTTGAACATGCCCTTTCCCTTCATCCACAGGTCCTTTCAGGGTCAAAATACTCTACTCAGCACCATCTTGGTTCCTTTCCTCCATACCAGACACTGCCTAAGACAGATGACACTCCTGAGAAGTCAGGTTATGAACTCCTGAATTAGCATCTTCCAAATGTACTTATCCTGTGCAATGCCCAGTGGAAAATGGAGCTCTGTGGTTAAGTTCATGATATGCTACTAGCACTGACCCTCTTTTAAGAGCCACTATGCTGGTGCACGTCTGTGGTTCCAGCTACTCTGGTGGCTGAGGCTGGAGGATCTCTTGAGCCCAAGAGGTTCAGACTGCAGTGAGCCTTGATCATGCCACCGCACTGCAGCCTGGGTGACACAGTGAGCCTTGGTCGGGGGGGGGGGGGAAGAAACAACAAAGAGCTACTATGCACTTGGACTCTAAAAATTTCTGCAATCAAGAAATCTGTTTACTGAGCATTCCCAACCTGTACTTGACTACAGTACCCTTTTCTATTAATATCCCTATCAGTATCTGAGGAATACACTTTGCCAAATGTTGATCCTGACTATGAGCTGCTGGATATAAGGCCCAGTGTCCCCTGATGTCTTACTCCTTAAAGCAACCGGAGAAGGAGAGGAAGCAAAGCAGAGTCCAGGAACAGGAAAGATATAGGTTGGCCGAGGGGAAAGCAGCCTGATAGTAATCAGAGAACTTGAGTGTAATTGCTTGTGTTGTTTCTGAAAGCATCTCAGCCAGGCTGGTGGTCCAATGTCCAAATTAGCTAATGGGTACAGGAGGGCTTTACGTGTTTAGAAATGATGGCTTTTTGGATCAGCACTCAAAGATACTCCTTTTTTTTTTTTGAAAATTGCCATTTTCCTCTCATATCATGATTCTCAAACTTTAGCTTGCATCGGCTCCCCTGGAGGCTTACAAAAACACAGATTGTTGGGCTCCACTCCGGGAGTGGCTGAGGCAGCAGGTCTGGAGTGAGGGCAAAGAATTCACATTTCTAACACGTTCCCAGGTGATGCTGATCTGTTGGTCTGGGGACCACACTGAAAAGGACTGTTCCAGGAGGAAAAGAAGTGCAACAGAAGAAGGGAAGGGGATAAAAGTGATAGATAAAGAGGAAACCGAATAAAAAGAAGAAAGAAAATATAAAAGAGGAGTGGGAGAGAAGAAGGGGAGATAGTGAGAATGATAGGAGAACAAGGGAAAAGGGGAGAGATAAAGCTGGGAAAGGAGAGGAAAGCAAGGAAAAGAGAGGACCACAACAGAAGAATAATGAGTAAAAGAGAAAAAAGAGGAAGAAAAACAGAGAAGGAGACTGAGCTGCGTGCAGATTTGCATAAGGGTTCCCAAGGTGTCAACACTGGCATCTGGGCAAAGGACCAGTAGGAGGTAAGCTTGTGGCATCTGTGTGGACACCTACTGTATACACAGCGACAACTTCCCCATCCATATTGCTTGTGGATATGCCTAGGTTTCCAGTTCCCTGGACTCAGCTTGGTTACACCAGCTGCTTTGGAAGCAAACCTGGCTCCAGTTAAAGGAGAAAGCCATGAGAAAGGAGGACAGAATTCTCACGTCCTTATTTCCCTATCCTGACCTCCTCCCCTCCTGGGTCTTGTCAGATCCTGGATTCCCTTCTCAACTTCCCCTCTGACCCAGAAGGACTGCCAGCTGAAGCTGGAGCCAACCCTCCCTCCCCAGGGCTTCTGCTCCCGACTGCTGGCCTGCACCCACCCTCCAGCCGCCCCAAGACTCAACAAGCCCTACCTTTGGGGGCTGTGTTGGTCTCCACCCCCAATGTCAGACAAACAAATGGGATCTTAGGGGTCCAAGGAGGCCCCACTAGGGGTTGCTGATAAAATTCACGTGTTGTCCCTTGGGCAGCCTTCAGGGCTAGGATGTGTGCATCATCAGAACCCAAAGCCACTTCCATGAGAGGAAATCCTAGTAGGTGGAGAGGAGCCAGGGCTTGGCTATGCCACCTTATTCAAAAGGGGTGCACAGTGGCCCCTGGAGATGGACTCTGTTGTAGCAAGACGTGGATAAACAGGCCGAGGAATTGTGAGCTCAGCCTGGGAATCAGACTGAGATGGCAGTACCTCTCTCCCCTGGAGGTGTGAGAAATCCTGGCTATAAATCAAGGAAATTAAGTAGAGTGCAAGGCTTAGGGGCATTGCTCAAGCTCCTAATCCAGATCCCAGAGTTGCTGAAAGGGTCACCACGCCCAGCAGCCCAGAAGGAGGGAAGCTCTGTTTTACAGGCTTTCCTCTCCCCAGAGCACAGCGAGGGGGCTGGACGTGGTAGAAACTCCAAGTGTGTAAGCTGCCTTGCCATCCCAAGGCAGCGGAATGTGAGAGCTAGAAAGGGACTCAGAGACCATCTCCTCCTAACGCTCCCCTTTTAAAGGCAGAAAAACCAAGACCAGATGAAGAAAAGAGGAATTTGTGTAAAGGCACACAGAGGCATTTGTTATCAACAAAATCCACAGGTAAATAACACTGCAGGTGGCAACCGGAAACTATGTCAGGGAGCAATTTACAGGTGATTTGCTGAGAATCATGAGGTCCTGCAGAACAGTAGGTGGGGATAGAGCAAAGTTCCAGGAGGCAGGACCCATCCTGACAATAAACAGGCAAACAGCAAACCAGTGCCTTTGCCTATCATACAGCTATGCAAGCACATGCATAACTTTTTAAAATTTGTCAACTTTTAGTTTCGATTCGGGGGTGTATTTGCAGATTTGTGACATGGGTATAGTGCATGATGCTGGGGTTTGGAATGCAAACGATCCCATCACCAGGTAGTGAGCATAGTACCCAATAGGTGGCTTTTCAGCCCTTTTCCTTCCTTCCCGCATTTAGTGGTCTCCAGGGACTGTTGTTCTGATCTTTACGTCTATGTGCATTCAATGTTTAGCTCCCATTTACAAGTGAGAACATGAGGCATTTGGTTTTCAGTTCTTGTGTTGGTTTACTTAGAGTAATGGTTTCCAGCTCCATCCATGTTGCTGCAAAGGGCATGTCTTTGTTCTTTTGTATGGCATGCATAACTTTTTGCAAAATTTTGTCAAACATTTAGTATAAGTGGACAAGCAACTTGGAGAGAACGAAAATCTTACTTACCATGCAGATTAAAGACTGACTGTAGGCTTTTTTAGAGTATTTATGATGTGTCAGACATGGGGCCAAGCCCTTTACTTTAATCTTCTCACTTAATCCTCACAAATGCCAGGAGGAACTATTTTTGTTGCTGCCATTTTTCCAAAAAGGAGAGTGAGGCACAGAGCAACAATTGCTCAAGACTGAAATCTAGCCTCTCTGTGTTTTTTACTTAACTCTCCAATGTGAGCATTTTTCAGTAGCAGAAATTATTGTTCTATGGCATCACTTTTAAGGGCTGACCATGATTTCACGGTAGAGTGGACACAATGTCTTTGAGCACACAGGGTCTGTGCTGATCTCTGGCAGAGTTCTGCAAACTCTTTTTCTTAAAAGGTAAGAGAATACATATTCTCTGTTGTGCTGACCCTGGGGTCCTGTTGCAAGTACTCAGCTCTGCTGTTGTGGCACGTGCAAGTAGCCATAGACAGTACAGAACCCAATAAAATTTCATTTGCAAAAACAGGAGGTGAGCTGAATTTGGCGAGTGGGCTGTAGTTTGCTGCCTGCACCTTGCTATAAGGTCTCACACCTAGTAAATGCTCAATAATTACAGTCATTGTTATTGATGTTATCTGTCAAAATAGCTTTAACAATATATGATAATAATATACATACATCTCTGAGCCAACTTCTCCGGTACAGACACAAAATCGTGGAGAACAGTGATTCTTCAACTTCACCGTGCATGAGAATCCATGGAACTTGTTAACAATGCAGAAGTGGCCTCATTTCCAAAGAATCTGATGCAGATCATCTGAGTTAGAGCCCAAGAACTGGCAAAAAAAAAAAAAAAAAAAAAGAAGAAGAAGAAGAAGAAGAAGAATCTGCTATTTAAAAGAGCATTCCCGGGTGGCCCTGATGATGGAGAACTGGGGTGAGCATGCTTACAAAAAACACTAAGCGTTTGCTTAGATGAATCATGGACTGAAAAGCAATGAAAGACGTCATGGGAAAGGCTGGCAGGAAACTCATGAGTAGGGAGGAGCCAGGTCATGTCCCTGGCAGGACAGCTCTTCAGCCACTTTAGGGTGTCCCAGGAAGGGACAGTGACCAGATAGGCATGGTAGAGTGTTGAAAACAACAGATCTCATTGGGAAAGCATCTACTGTGTGCCAGGTGGTTCCCTTGGGTTAACTCAATTCTTTCAACAGCTCTTACATCTGTCCCCTGTCCCCTCCCCATCAGAGTGGAGCAGGGAGGAGCAAAGCTTGCCTACCAGTGGGCAGGATGCTGATGTCAGGGTTTGTGTTCTTGCCACTTCTTCGCAGAACCCGCATGAAGATCTGGGTGTTTCGGGGACGGAAAAACTGGGACACAGAGGATGAACTGGGTTCAGAGGGGAGAAGGGGCCCATGGGTGTTCAAGGCCTCAAGACCCAAATAGGTCTGGAGGAAAAGAGCCTGAGTTTCCAGCCAGCTCTTGATCATGTTGACTGGCTGATTTCTCAAGCGTCCCAAAGGGAAGTTCTATTGGTAAAGTCCTGATTCTCAAGAGTGATTTCTAGACCAGCAGCATCGACAGCACTTGAACTTGTTCAAAATGCAGATTTATCGGGCTCACTGCTAGACCCAATGACTCAGAAATTTGCAGAAAGAGAGATTCAGACATCTACATTTTTATCTGCATTTTAACAAGCCCTCCCGGCTATTGTGATACAAACTCACATTTGAGAATGAGCGTGTGAGGAATTCTTTTTATATATGAGGGAACAAAAGGACAGAGAGGTCAAGCAGCCTGTCCGAGGTTGCAGAGGCAGTGGTTGTGGGGCTGGGCCTTAACCCCATTGTTCATGGTTTCTCATGAGAGACACCTGGGAGATGCATCAAAATGCAGTTTCCCCTGTCCTCTCTAGACCGACTGACTCAAGATCTCCAGGGCTAAAGCCCCCAGTTTGTCTTTTAGCAAACTTCCAGGTGAGTCTAGAGTTTTAGAATTCTTCCCTAGTTCCTGTTGCTCTATACTCGTGTAGTTATTTTCTCTTCCCACTGTCCAGTTTCCTTCTTTTCTTTCTCCCACACCCCTTCATTTTTTCCCCTTCTCCTATACTTTGGGCCTCTCTCCACAACCAGCTAGTTGTACATAACTAGTTCGTCGCAGAGAAACTAGAAGAAACCCAGGGTACCGTGTCTTATACCTCTCCGTTTTTAAGCTGGTTAATAAAAAATAATTAAAAATCATCCACAAATACGTTTTTTCTTAGCATTTCAAACAGTATAGAATTTTATAGAGTTTTAGAGAGTAAAAGCTGTTTTTCTTCTGATCCTTCCCAAAACCAGGCAACCCCCAATTACTGTTAATAGTTTAGTGTGTCACGTTCCAGACATCTACATTTTTTATTCAAATAAATATATGCACATATACACTCAGATGATAATTCAAAACAGAAATGGAACTATACTATTCCTATTATACTGTGACGTGGCTCACTTAATAGGATATTGTGTACATTCCTGTGTGTGATTTTGTTTGTTTGTTTGTTATTTATCTATTTTTTTATTTTACTTTAAGTTTTGGGATACATGTGCAGAACATGCAGGTTTGTTACATAGGTATACACGTGCCATAGTGGTTTGCTGCAACTATCAACCCATCATCTAGGTTTTTAAATCCCGCATGCATTAGGTATTTGTCCTAATGCTCTCCCTACCCTAGCTCCCCATCCCCCGACAGGCCCCGTGTGTGATGTTAGCTTCCCTGTGTCCAGGTGTGTCATTGTTTAACTCCCACTTATGAGTGAGAACATGCAATGTTTGCTTTTCTGTTCCTGTATTAGTTTGCTGAGCATGATAGCTTCCCTGCAAAGGACATGAACCTGTTCTTTGTTATAGCTGCATAATATTCCACGGTGTATATGTGCCACATTTTCTTTATCCAGTCTATCATTAATAGGCATTTGGGTTGATTCCAAGTCTTTGCTATTGTGAACAGTGCCACAATAAACATATGTGTGCATGTGTCTTTATAGTAGAATGATTTATAATCCTTTGGGTATATAATACAAATAAATATAGCATATTCTTACTAATGGTTATAGAGTATACCACTTTTGAAAGTATATGACTTAGTTGAATTCGTCACGAAGAGATGGTCATTTTTGTAGCTTCCTATTTTTCACTACTGTAAACAGCATGACCCTAAATATGTGCTTGTACATGTTTGTTTGTTTGTTTGTTTTAAGACAGGGTCTCACTCACTCTATCATCCAGGTTGGAGTGCAGTGGTACAGCCTTGGCTCACTGTAACCTCTGCCTCCTGGGTTCAAGTGATTCTCCTGCCTCAGCCTCCGGAATACCTGAGATTACAGGTGTGTGCCACCACGCCTGGATAATTTTCGTATTTTTAGTAAAGATGGGGTTTCACCATGTCGGCCAGACTGGTCTCAAACTCCTGACCCCACGTGATCCCCCATCTTCGGCCTGCTGAAGGGTTAGTATTACGGGCATGTGCCCATATGCTTTTTTGAACATGTGTAGTCTGAAAGGTGAATTGCTTTGGAGAGAAAATACTGGGATTCAACCTTCTGTCCATTTGGCAATTTTCTTCCATTCTTTTCCAGTCAGAGTTTTCTATGCCTAAGAGGGTAATTGACACAGAATGACAGCTACTTGTTTTCATTGCTGCTTTTCTTTTTTACCTGCTTCTGGGGAGTAAGGGAGAATTGAAAACTGAAATGGATGCACTCTCTTGCCAAAGTGGGAAGATTGCCATGAAGGCCAGCTCAAGCTTCAAGACAAAAGCTATTAATAGTGCTCTTCACATCATTCCTAGAGAGAAAGAAGATGCTCTTACTGATTAAAAAACTTGGCAGTTTTTAGCAACAAGGAAAGTTGGTGAATTTTCCCAGGTTAAGTATGAAACATGACAGAGCTTGGATGAGCTGCTCTGACTCCCTACTCATTGTTGCTATTTTCCTTTTTTTTTCTTTTTTAAAATTCTACTTTAAGTTCTGGGATACATGTGCAGAACATGCAGGTTTGTTACATAGGTATACACATGCCTTGGTGGTTTGCTGAACTCACATCTGAACCCGTCATCTACTCATTGTTGCAATTTTCTATGAGGCCCCCAACCCCCTGTGATTTCAGTATAAACACCATACAGCCACCCACACCCCACCCGGCTCCCTATGACTCAGTCACATACTCATCCCAGAGTCATTAGAGAATGGAAATCATGAGCAAGATCTGGCTCACACCCAGGGAGTGACAAAGCATGTCCAGAAAATCAGGGATTCCCCTTCTGCCAAGGAGGCACGAGTGGAGACAGCCAATTCTCCATGGTCAGGAGGGAGATGTTTCAAAGCTCCAGGCCTCTGAGGTTGGCAGAACTGCATGTTGTTTTGGGAAACCGTGCATTGCAGCAATTGTGAGGGAACAGAACTGTCTTCGAGGCAAGAGAAATAACAGAGCTGAAATAGACCATGCATTAATGGCGAATTGCAATCTCAGGTCTCATTGATGCCATGCTCTTAATTATAAATAGTATTTGAAACCCATTTCCCTCCCTCATTAATGATAACAACTAAGTTTGTTAAGTAGTTACTCTGTTTTAGGCACTGTCCTAGGGACTTAGAATACTGTAAGTATTTTGGACAACCCTTTTGATAGGATTATTATGATCTTCACGGCAAACTGAAGAAACCAAGTCTCAGAGAGGCTAGACAAGCACTTTGTTACACAGTTAAGAGAGCACGAATCCCAGGCATTGTGAAAGATTACAATAAGCACAAAATAAAAAGTTCCAATGCATGTTACAAACCAGTACTGAAAAGGAGCAAATACATTTAACCTCAAAGTTAACCTCACAGTTTCTGAAGGTTGAGAATCTGGAAGCAGCTTAACTACATGGTTCTACTTCAGAGTCTCTCATGACATTGCAGTCAAGTAGTCAGATGGGCTGTCATCTCATCCGAAGGCTTGACTGAGGGAAATCCATTTCCATGCTTATTCATGTGGCTGTTGGCAGGAAGTCTCAGATTCTCACTATGTGGGTCTCTTTTCAGAGCTGCTCCCAAAATAGCTCCCCCAAACTGCTCCCTGCAATCAGTTGAAAGACAGAGAGGAGAGGAGAGAGAGGAGAGGATGGAGGAAGAAAAAAGGAGAGCAGGAAAGTGGGGGATGGGGGAGAAATAATATACCTGCAATATTTTTTGTTATCTAATCTCGGTCAGACCAACCCTGGTACAATGTGGGAGGGAACTACATAAGGATAGGACTATTAGAAGCTGGTTACCATAAGAATACATCTCTCAGCTAGAAAATCTTTGTGGTCTTCATGTGAAACAACATACCGAGGACCTAGTATCCTTTATTTTTTCTCTCCATCCATCACTCAGACAAATGTCAAATGTATACAATTGGAGGGAACATTTCCTGCCAAAGAATGAGGAGTTTCTATCTTGATTCTGCACAGGAATATCGCCCAATAAACTTCGTTCCTGTCAACTCAGTCTCCTCAACAAACAGGCAGGTGGCATTGTCTTCCCTCCTACCACTTTGAACCAAGGACGCTGATTATTCTAACTCCAACTTTATCACAAAAGTTAATTCTCTACCTTGCTCTGCCCTCTCTATGATGCATGCAGACTATAAAACTCATGTTCCCTTACCCTTGGCTTTCAGTTGGGCTTGACCAATGATAAACACCAGCAGAAGACTGAGGGTGGCAAGAGAGAGCGCTTGGGTATCAATGCCTCTATTCCCTTTCTGCTTCTGTATTATATATCTGAAAGGGTTTGTGGCTCCCCATGTCTACACCACTCACTGGGTG